ACCGGCTCCTCCTGACCCTACAAAAGCGAGGAAGACTGTTGCCTCGGGATTCTGAGGCCGTTTCCTACGTTTTCCTTTCCAGAAGGAGCGACTGTGTCTAAAGTGCCAACTTGTCTGGTTAGCAGGGCAGCACGCAGCCCACGGTGCCCCCAGAGCTCCAAACCACCTTCCCCAAAAGTTGTCATGAGTGTGCAAGTAGAACACTGCTCCTGGGGGTTGTCAATGGCTGCGTTTTCTCCTGTAGCTCACCAAGCCTCTCTTCCCTGAACCTCTCTCTCTCACAGTCATTCAGTCCATGCAGGCTCACAGGGAGTCCGTACATCAGGGCAGAACCACACCTGGGCGTTTCTGAGTCTGTAACTCTTCATGGAGTGGACAACTTCATCTTTGTCCCGTGGAACAGCTAGGGGTTTCCAACTGCTCACCTTGTGGTTCCCAGACCACGGCGGGGACTAGCAGCCCCCTAAGCTTTCAGATAGCCCCAGAGCGCATTAGTTGTTTGCCCAGCCAGCCCAAGGACTCCAGGGCTTAGGTTCCCAAGTTTATTGGGTCAGGGAAAAAAAAAAGTTACTGAATAACCACCTCCCCTCAGCATTGAAACTTTTGTACGGCAGCCCCTAATCCAGGAATAAGTGTCGGTATCTGCTTTGGCAGCCCCCCCCCCCCTCCCACCAGCCCATTCCAGTGCCCCTCTGGGGACGGTTTCACCCAATTTGGGAAGTAAAAATGACAGATGAAACGTTTTTATTATTTCAAGTCATCTGATCCCTGCTGTTGGTGCCTGTGCTGCCCAGTTTAAGGTTCTCACTAACAGCTAGAATAGCCAGTTTACTGGAATCAGTGAGTTTCTGTGCCCGTCTGCCTGCCGGGCAGTTCCAGTGGGCTGAGGTCACCGTCTGAGCTCAGAGTTGCAACATTATGTGGCAAAAGTGCATTGAGGGGGCTGCTCCTGCCCTAAATAACGATACAGATTAGCCAGATGCAGATAAAAATAGCAGCCCAGCCTGGGGTATTAGACCGTAAGGGCACAAGGAGCCAGCCCTTCCCACGGTCTGCACTGACTAGTCTGCCACACTCCCAGGCTCCCTGCACCTAGCTGGAGCTCCGGGATGGGGACAGCATTGCACTGGAAGGCTGCAGTGTGGAGCACGCCTTCCTGCTCTGGGCCGAATCCCAGCAGGAAGCTCGCTGCCCAAGGCTAGTCTGCCCCATAAAAGACCCAGAGAGGCCAAGTGTTTCTCTAAGGCCACACGGTGGACAAGAGGCAGGGCTAGGGCTGGCACTGGGTACCCATCCCATTCACAGTCCTTCTGCTCATGACCAGGGGCAGGGAGCACAGTGGCGATGCGCTGGGGTGTTAACTGCAAGGCTGGCAATTTTACCCGAGCCCACGAGGGGAGCACTCTGGATAGCACAGCCCATACTTGCTCAGGGATAACGGTTCTTGGGAAGTGGCTACCCAAGAGAGGTCAACCCCACCCCCACCCCCATATACACCAAGGGCCTGACTAGTCAGACGTGGCCCCGAGACTTGCTAAGCCAGAGGCCCCAGGGGCCACTGAAGCTGAGCATGCCTGGGATCT